GGTATCGTACTATAAGGACATCCTGAAGACGGACCGCAGATTCCAGGCCTTCATCAGACAGAAGTCCAACCATCCGCTGATGAAGAAGAAGGGCATCCCGGAGTGCATCCTGTTCGTGACGCACCGGGTGACCAAGTACCCGCTGATGCTGGAGGCGCTCATGAAGTACAGCAAGGACCAGGAGGAGGAGCTCAGTACCTTGAAGAAGGCGCTGGACCTGGTGAAGGTAAGAGGCGCGGAGGAAATATGTGTACTTGATTTAGTTTAACCAGTTTTTTATTTGAATTAAAATTTTATGTATTTTGGGTTCATATAAATCACTTATCATATTCTCTTTCAGGACATCCTTGTAAATATTAATGCTCAAGTTGCGGAAAAGGAAAGAGAGCAAAGATTGTTAGAAATATATCACAAGATAGATGCCAAATCATCAGCACTATACAAGGAGCAGAAGTTTAAAAAGTCTGATTTCTTCTCAAGAAGTAGAAAACTCAAGTAAGTAGATGATTTGTGTCTCATTACCACACAAGAAATTAATAACTGAGTCATTAATAGTTCAGAGATTTTGTGTAGATACATATAAAATGCCTTTTAACAAAAAAAGAAAAACTCATGTAACATATCCAGAAGAATGTTTCTAAAACTTATTTGTTATACTTATTGTATCTTCCAAAAAGTGGTGGTTCTTGAATTACCTCAGGAGATGAAAGTATATATAAAAAAATATATATATTTAAATACTTACATGATCAAATTTTACAGGTTCGAAGGTTCAGCAATCCTAAGTCAACAAAAGGGCAAACCCATACTGGTGCAGGTTGTGGTGTTATCAGATTTAGTCTTCTTCCTTTTGGAAAATAACCAGAAGTACTACTTTTTCTCACCTGATTCAAAGGTCAGTATCTGCTTTGTATTTTTTATTAATTGTTATTTAATCAGGCATTGGTGATATGAATTACAAATGGAGAAGAGATAGGAAATAAAAGGTAAATATTTTGTTTGAGAATTAAAGGGATATGTCTTTACTATAGGCTTGAGATGTATTTTATTTGATTTTTTTCTTTTTATTTACTGATAGAATTTGTGTTTCATTTAAGAAAATGCTCTTTTAGGGGAGAGGTTGTAGTGCCAATGTTAAACAAATGACCTGCTGTTAATTGACTGTTCCAAATAACTATAACTACTGTATTCACCTGCAATTAGTTGATTGTTCCAAATGACTATTACACTAACTTAAGCGACTGTTTCAAATGACTTATATCAATCCATTAAGAATTAATTGTTTCGATTTGCAGTTACATCTTTTAATTGCCCCAAATGACTATTAATAATGCTATCCATTGATTGTTTGACTTATATCAATCTTTTATTGAGAGATTGTTCTAAATGACTGTCATATTAACATTCTATTAATTTGATTGTTTCAACAGCAGGCTGGTGTTATCCCATTAGACAAGCTCATAGTGAGAGAGAAGGCAGGGGAAGGATCACGTGCTATCTACCTTATCTACTCGAAGAATACCGCTGAGATGTTTGAGTTTGAATGCCAACATCCAAAAGATAAGAAAATATGGTTGGAATCTATAAGGTACTTTTCCTGTTTGTTTTTCTCCTTTCTCTTTCTATTCTTTCTCTCATTCAGTCAAATATTGTCAAGAGTTATGTCCTGCATTTGTTAGGATTCTCAAGAACATAAACTTGTGAGAAATTAATATTTTGTTAAATAACCCTTTTTACTTTTTATTCTTCGTTTTTTATATTTATTTACTTGCTTATTTATTTATTTGTTTATTTATTGCATCACAGAGAAGCCATTGATCAGTGTCCAGATGAAGAGGACATGGGCGATAACTCCAGCGAGAATTCAAAGTTGCAGGAAGCCAATTCTGAAAAGATCCGGGAAATTCTAGGTAAAAATTTGTCATTAATCCAATTTAGTTACACACAAGGCCAGACATACACTTTATAAATTCTTCATTGAACAAGTTGAATTTTATTTTATTTATTTTTTTTTACAAAATGACTATATTTGTATATTCTGTATCTTTATAACATGTATGCACCATTCTATTTCTATTCTTGTATATGCACTGTGCATGTGTGTTTTGTGATGTTATGCCACTCATACTTGTTTGTGTGGTAAAAAATTCACTCTCTTAGTATATACAGTACACATTCTAATGATGATGCATGATCCTTTCAGGTATTCTGCAGCACAAAGACAAGGATTTGGCAAGAATATGTGAAGACAAGATGAATGCAGTGACAGAACTGCTGGAGTTGTTAGGCAATGATGAATTCCCTCCCACTCCACAGTACCGAGCACTTCTTGATGAGCACCATTTAGATCACAATGCTGCTCGAGACTTGCAAATAAATTCACTCATGGTTAGTGGCCAAGAAACTGTAAACAAGGAATGTGGGATTTCAATCAGGTTTAATGGTTAACATTGGATAGTACCTAATCAAAAGATATTCTACTTTTCATTTTACAGCTACATAGATATTAAAAAAGTGTTTCTTATAGATACACAGTATCTCTATTAGTAATTATGAATTAGGAAAAACATTTTAGTGTAATATCATCTTAAGACTCTGGGAAAGTTCTTGCTCATTGTAATCTTTCCATAAAAGGAAGTCTTTTCTTTACCGAGACACTCACACCTTAACTGATTCATTCACAGGAAGCCCTAAGATTAGTGAGTGGGGCTTGTGGCTGGGGTTCTAACCTTGCTCGCTCAGTGAGTTCTGTGGGGGAACATCAGAGTGACGCCTATGTGTCGCCCAGCCTTCCTAAGAGAGCAGAAACATTTGGAGGCTTCGATAACCCCAACAAAGATGCCTCAGGACATCCTCAGAAACGTGAGTTCTCTATGGTGTTTATTTTGCTTTGGTTTTGTCCTCATTTTGGGTTTCTCAAATCTTATTGCTTTCATTATTACTGCCATGAAGGTTATGTTGTTGTAGTGTGGTTAGGTTGTTTGTTAGTTGGTTAGCAGATTAGCTCACAAATTTATTAAATTATTGTTGTTTTTGTGTGTGTGTGTGTGTGGGGGGGGGGATCTGGATCCAGGATTTTTTAAAGGATTCATTAGCATTGTGAGATAGGGAAACATGGATGTTACCAGTGTACTTGAGAATGAAGTGATTTTAATGCAAGTAAATATTTTTATTGTACCAGTGACCCTATTGCCTTGGCAGAGGTATGTGCTCACTGAGTGCTTCTAGATATTGTATTATTTGAAATTTTAAAGAATATAATTTGTTTTTTTTTATTAGTCTATTGTTATTATTATGATAGATTTTTAATGTTTTAAAGCATTATTAGTGTATATAAATTTATGGTTATCATCATTAGATGTTGGATTTGGTTAAAGAAAAACTTCATAGTAAACCTCAGGTAGATCAGCCAATTATAATGCCTCAGTACCTTTTTGTTAAATTACTGTTACTTATCTCATTTGTTTTTCATAAATTGTGCTCTATTATCATATCTATGAATATTGTATTTTTTGAAGAAATATGATAGGCAATTTCGGAAGTATTAAGTATTGAGTAAAACGACTGCTAGTGTCCCTGAAAAGAAACTTTCATTTCTTTCCTTTTTTAATTTGATATGATATATATCTTAATCTGTTCCATTCTAAACAGACCATAGTCATTCATATCTGTAGAAAAGCTACCTCAAAGTATAAATGATGGCATTTATTACAATTTTTTCTTACCTTTGTAAATTTTCAGAGTCCGGAGGGAAGAAGAAGAAGGACAGCCGCATGTCGCTGACCTCAACAGGCACAGGTGAAAGTGATATAATAGAGAGCCTTAAGAACCGTCGTCCATCTGGCAGCACGCTTGCAGTTCGTTCCTCACAAGACAACTTGAGCATTGTGTCCACACTATCTGGTGACTCATCCAGTCAACAGCAACATCAGGCTGTAGCAGCCAAGCTTATATATTGGCTACAGACTTCGTTGGTGCTTAGTCAACATCATTTAACCCAATTCGATATGTAGGTGTATGCTGCTGTTGAATGTTTCTGTTTGACTGATTAAGCTGTAGTTGAATTTATTTAGCATGCACTGTAATAAATTCTGTTCTGACTGATTAATCTACATTCCTGAAAAGTTCATTATTTTAATTTTACAGTTTAGTTGATTCTACATTGCAATTTTAAGCTTGACTCAACTACATTGCAGACAAATTTAGTTTTAAATGTAAACAGGATGACTGATACTGTATTATGGTTTTGTGTTTGATAGACTAATCAACAATACTATATATATATATATTTTTTTTTATACAACGAAATTAATTCTTATTTTGAATAATTTTTTAAATTAGAAGACCTGAAGTTTTTGTATAAGTATTCACAATATTTTAAATATTTCCCATAGGTTGAGGTCCAAGTTGGTTGTTGGTGGGGCCTCAGTTGATGGACGATTCCGACACTCTCAGAAGTTGGAAGAACTTCGGAATATACAAGAGCAGATTAGCCATGAAAGGGCCCAGTGGATGAAGGAAAGGGATGCCCAGGAGAAGTGGATTGCAGAAAAGAAAATTGAGCTTCAGAAAAAGGAGGTTAGTTCAGAGCTTGCAGGTTGTCTTTCATGTAGCTAAAGAAATGCTAAAGACCCAAAACTTTATCAAAGTTAACTTTTACTCATTCATCATTGTGTTTCTTTTTTCTTTGTCTACTTGTTTTTCTGTTAATTGTGTTTCTTTTTTCTTTGTCTACTTGTTTTTCTGTTAATATGTATAAATGCTCGTCATTGCCAGATATTTTAAGAACAATGACATAAGATTTATCTTTTATTTGTGATGACCATGTTGAAAGATAAGGATTGATATTTTAGTCTATCAGAAAAGCAAAATGAAATAAGAAAAATTTCCTGTCTCTATGTTTAGTTGTTAACCACTTGCTGCCAGGGGTGGCATCTGTGTACATGCCACAGCCATGGTGTGTTTAATTTAGTAATTGTTTTACATATAGATGGCTCCACAAATACTATGACACCAATGAGCCAACTACGTGAAGTTTACCCTGTTCCTTGATTTTCGATAATATTTTCTAGTATTTAATACTGCTGTTAGTAATATCAGTAACAATGTAGTAATTATAATGTTTATAACAATAATAACAGTGTCAATATTGATAGCATTAGTAAAAAAAAAAAGCATTTTCCTACTTATTCAAGGAAAAGCGAGCTCACATGATTTACTAATTGACTCATTTGTGGATAAGCACTGGCAGAGCCATCTATGCGCAGAATCACTTAACCAAGCATTGCCAAAGGAACCCACCATTTTCCCGTCAGCACTGCGTTAACATATGTGACTGTTCATATATGTGAATGCCTATCATCACCAGATATTCTAAGAACAAGGTTGTAAGATTCATCTTTTATTTGTGAAGACCATCTTGAAAAGAAGCAAGATAAGGGTTAATATTTTAGTCTATCAGAAAATTTGGGTAAAGTAGGGAAAAAAAAATTATATTCTTATCAAAAAAGCCTGGCAAAAAATACAAATTTTACTCTTTGAAAGTGACCCCAACTCTTTCTCTCCAGGAACACCTTCGCAGTGAGCAGCAAGACGTCCAGCAGCAGCGCGAATTGTTATATCGCAAACTAGAGGCTCTCAAGGCTCAGGGTATCATCCTAAGTCCAACTCTAACAGTTCTCACAACAACGCCACCAACCCACGCGGTACATGAGGAACACCTTGCAGGTATGCAGGTCTTTTAATCTCAAGTCTTTTGATTTTTGCCTTTTTTTTGTTCTTATCGAGTATAATATCCACCTGCTTGTTAGATGAGAAGTAAAGGAAACTATCTGCTATGCCTTTGGTATTCTTCTTCAGAAGAATAGTTATTAAATGGTTCCATAATGCACTTGGACATTATATCTTACAGGAAATGTAAGTGGTAGTGCAGGTGATGGCGGACAGATGACTCAGGGATCTCCACATAGTTCACCTACAAGTACAGCAGCCCCCACTCGCCCTCGTACCGATCACAAGCATCGCAACTCCACTGCTTCAATTGCCAACCTCATCAAGCGTGACTCCAACCAGTCTTTACCCACACACCTCATATCAGCAGCAAACCAGCAGAAGGCATCTATATCAGTTAAACAGCAGCTCCCAATGAAGCTTGCCAAACTGGGAAGCAGCAGCAGCACAGGCTCCTCGTCAAGCAGCGGTGGTGGCGGTGCATCCTCGCCCAATCAGGACCGCCTTGACCACCACCGGTCTCACATCAGCCCTGGGGCCAGTGGGGGAGTGCAGCAGATGCTGCCTCTGAAACTAAGCCAGGGGCCCAATGAGGGCAAAGGTTCCCGTATAACTGTGGGTACCAGCGCCTGGCTTCTCCTCCACCATCCCTTGAGCCCTCACCAGGTCCATCCCACCAACGCACAGGGTCGTCCCCTGCCACGCTACAGAATGGGTCTTCAGCTGTCAGTCCTGGGCACCCGCTCCCACTGCCACCACCACCGCCCAGGGGCTCGCGCCACCCGAACCAATACCTACCCAAAGTTGACCAGTAAACCTTCCGTGCCCACCACTCGTGCCAACACCACGCCAGAGGGATCACAGGAAGGTTCAGGTGTGGGATCCAGCACACGCCCTGGTCAGCGTATTAAAGATCCTGATACCAACCAGGACATAATATTCTTCTAAGAGCTTTTATCCAGCTAGCTTTTCTAGGTTTCATATAGTTCAGTGGTGTGACCATTAGGCTCTCGTTTTGGATGAGCAGGATTGTCATACTTCTGCAAGCCGCAATTAGCGTCTTTCCCTGTGATTAAGGCATTCCTTCCTTTATACACACCACCACTGGTACATGACCCTTAGTGTTATTACGATGTGTAAATTGTATGCTGTGGGTCTGGGACTTGTACATAGAACACTCATACACCCATGCACACTGTCTTCCGGCTACTGGTACACAGCACTGGTGGGAGCTCGCACTCTGTGTGATAGATGCACCCTCTATAACCCCTTGGCAGATGCTGCTTAGCATGTATTGATGTGCAAGGTCAGTGGATCAGTATTCATAATAAGCTATGATAGTAAATTTTTATATACGGTAGAGAGTGAAAGAATATGTGATGTAAAAAGTTTAATATGTTTTTGACTTGAATGGCTATTTTTACATATGAATGTAAGTCGTGACTGGTTGCACATTCCTGTGGCCTTTACTGCCCTCTGCGTAGGGAAGGAGCAGCCTCAAGGGGAGAGAGGCTGCTCGTCCTCCAAAATGCATTTTCGTGCGGGCTGTCTCGGGTGGTGTCAGTGCAGCAAAGCTGTACTTTTTCAGTCTTACCGATTTACCTAATTCTTTTATATATGTTTTATATCACTTATAGGTTTTAATTTTAGATAGTGTAATTTTAACAAATTCCAAGTAGCCAGGTTGGCAGTGTGTACATTCCAAAGAGTAATTATTTCCATGTTGTATTTGCTGTATGTTAGCCCAGATGGAATATAGGGTATCCTAATATCTACCACGTATCTAGAATTCATTGTTTTCTGAAAGCTCAATGTGTATCAGCCAAAACTTCCAGGCAAGGCTGGCAAAATAGGTCGAAAACTGTGTATAGCCAGTATAATGCTGTGTTAAAGACTTGGGTAATATGTATAGCCAGTGTTAAAACTGGGGGTAAATTTGTTGTGCTGAATGTTTAGGTCAATGTACATTGTAATTAAGGATGGCCAGCACAAACAACATTCCTTGGGGTCATTTTTTGTGCATTTCATAAGACCTAGACTATGAACAATAAACTTGTACAGATGTGTCTGCAGTGAAGAGAGAGAGAAAAAAATATCAGTACATACTTACCTCTCTTCAAAACATGATCCCTGATGAAGGATATGCTGAAAGTTACCAGGCAGTCCATACTGTGAAATGATCAGCAAAAATGAGAATTGTCTGTTCTGTGCTTTTGTAAGAACAATCACAAGTCATATTTTGCTATTCACATCATGGAAAATCAGACTTGTAGATACATTAACAAGGCTTAATTTTGCTGATACTCACATCATAGTACCTCGAAAAACCTGATGGAAGATTGTAAAAATTATGGTTGCTGTTACCTTCCCTTTTGTTACTTTTATAAAAAGAGAGTTTTGCCACACCATCGTTAAGGCTGCTTTTTCCTTTTAATTGGATCAGCAAAGTTGATGGATATGCATTGCATACGGCCCAGGTTTTAGTTCAGTGAAAAATGTGCCGCATTATGTGTGTATTTCTGCTTTGTTTACAGATCATGTTTCATTTTGGTCTTCCATACCATAATAGCTGAACCTGCTCTATGGCAGTCAGACATCTCATTCTTAGTGGGTAGGAAATCTAGATTTACTAAATACATCCTTTTTCTATATTGCTTTGGTTATTCCATTCGTTCAGCTATATCTAGCTTTTTAGCAACAATTATCATTCCTTATTTTTATAATCTCTTGTCAGTTATATGGGGTTATGTGGGGTATTTCAGCTAGGTTAGATCCCTCACTGTAAGAGGTTCTTCTAGCCTCTCTGAAGAAGAAAATGAGCATTCTCCTTATAGCTGAGAGATAATAGTGAAGGTAACATATTCCAGAGATATAATTAGTATTTCTTAACTTTACCATCTACCTAATAATCTATATGGCAACTCTCTCAACAATAAGTAAGGGTTCAGCTTCCCAGTTTTTTTATCAAAAAAGAAACATTCCAATGTGTACTTAGGTTGTATTTAAAATGTCACACTAGAATTATGTGTTCTTTCCATTAGAATAGTGTCCTATGTTCTGGGGGATATTTAAATATTTTCTGCAAGTGAAATGCTGTTGTTTCTTTATCAGATACCTATGCCTTTATGCACATCAAAGTTGCACTTGTCCTGTGAAGTCCTCTCTGGCAGTAGAAAATATATGCCGTAAATAGTCCTAAACAACTAGAACTGGTGCTTTAACAAGTAAACAGGAAATCAGTGCAACTTTTCATTCATAAAGGGAACATCTGGAACCAGTCACCCTGATTTGTACTCTAGTGTGTCATTTTTCACAGCATCACAGAAAATTCTTGCAAGGCATCATGAGCCTAGTCAGTCTGGCAGCATGTGATATTATAATACCAGTGGACAAGACTCAGTTATGAGATCTAAAGAGGTTGATCTGATTTGAAGAAGCCTTTGCTTGAGAGCAAATGCAGTTTAATACATTATTTTGTGAATAGAGTCCAAGGAATAAACTGTTTATCACGTTCAAAGTTTTTCATTTAACCAGACTCTTTCTCATTCTCATTCTCAATCTCTCTCTTTCTTATTATCACCCACTACCACTCCCATTCTCTTACTCTTGCTTAGGCCTATTCACTTACTCTCACACTCACAGTCACTCACTTGCACACACACACTCTCACTCACAATCATACTCATATTCAAACTCACTCACTCACTCACTCATACTCACTCCCTCTCTCTCTTTCTACATATATATATGTATGTATGTATATATCACTCATTTTCACTCACTCTCTCTTCTTGCTTTCCCACTTTCTCACTCTGCAACCAACCAATCAATGACAACGACGACGACGACAGTGACGATAATGATGCGAACGACTACGACGACGATGAAAAATCTTTTTTCTGGGGATCATCCGTCTCCATTTCGTCGTCCTCTGCATTTTTCTGTTCCACCAGCTACCTGCCTTCCCTGAATCCACCCCTCCTGATATCTCCTGAAACTCACACTTATCCCCTCCTTTCTCCTTTTGCTGATCCCTCCCTTACCCCCATGGACATCCTTAGTGAATCCTACACTTTTTCCTTGACAAGTTTGATCTAATCACCCTTTTGGTAATCACTACTTTAACCCATTTACTCACAGTCTCAACCCTCACCCCTCTTCACCCCTTTCAATAACTTACCACCCTAAACTGCTGCATGATTTTTGACGCGTAGCACATTTAATTGTCAATTAACTTTGCCGCTTTACCCTTTTCACTACTTCACCTTTCTATAGTGCTATATGACCTTTGATGTATAGCCCATTTCTTTTGTTTTGTAGCCACATTAACCAACCAACCAACGCAGTGTCTGCATGTCTTCTTTCATCACATCATATAAACCTCGTCTTTGGTCTTCCTTTTCCATTCCGCCTGGCGGCTCCTTTCTCAGCATCCTTCTTCCAAGTATACACAGCATCATTCCTCTTTACATGCCTAAGCATCGCAATGTCACCTCTCTCGCTTTATTTCAAGTCTTACTTTCACTAATTCTCTAACATACTCGTTTTTATTCTTGTCAATCCAGTTCACCCCCAACAAAAATTGCAACATCCTGAACTATGCCACCCCCAGCTCCGCCACTCGTCTCTTTGTCAGTGCCATCGCCTCCAAGCCATACATCACTGCTGATGCAACTACCTTCTTGTAAACGCACTTTCATTCTTATAGGTATCCCCCTTCGTAAATACATCCAGCAACACGTCTCCACCCACTCCACCCTGCTTGCATTCCCCCTTCAGTTCTCTGCGACACTGTTACTTTGAAGTGTGGTCCTCATGGATTTTATCTCTTCCATATTCATCATCTGCTCGCAACTGCACCTCTGGTAAAAAAAAAAATCATAAAAATCTATTCATAGCTTTCTGAGTTATCCTGCTAACCAACGAACGAACAAACTAACCAACTTGATAATAACCTCCTTAGCGGAGGTATTTATCAAACTTGCAGATACTCGACGGTAATTAAACTGAAAACATAGTGATGGGTAAACTCTTTTAAATATGAGTTCTGCAGAAGATATAAGAACTCTGTGGAGAAGAAATATATACACAAAGCCGCCATGTCTATATTTCACATAGGTGACAAAATAACGAGGAAACTCTTGTTTTATAAAAGGTCAAAAGTTGCGGCTGCACATACGAAGCAATCCTGGAGTCAGCAGTACAGCTGTCGAGTAAAATTGTCATTTTGTTATTCAGCAAAGAAAGGTGAACACTAAGAGGCATAGAGCGAGGGGAGAAGGGAGGGAGGGGTAAGAGAAAGACAGATAGAAAGACATTTGATCTGATTTGAAAAAAAAAAAAAAAAAAAAAAAAAAATACAGAGCAGTTTACATGCCCTGTAAAAAGCAAGGAAAGATGTCTAAGCATCTACCCAATCTGGCTGAACTTATATTGACTTAATAGCCAGAGTCACACATTAAATGTACATGCTGCACCTTAGTGCTCGCCTTATTGGTTAACTATTTAATAACTGAAAAAAACACATATATGATTTTACAAAAAATGAACAGTGTTTCCATAAATCTTAATGTCCCATTGTGGTACACTCAGTCACTGTGGGTCATCAGTTGTGAGCTGATGATTTTCAAGGTGTAATACAGGTTGTAGAGTGGTGAACCGTTGTCCAAAGAGCAATGAAAACCATTTTTTCCCTGGAATTGTTGTTGAGCAAATTGCTGCTGCGCCACGAGCATCATCTGTTCCATCTTCTGCATCAACACTTGCAGTAGGTCCTGTCTTTCCTGTGGTGTATGGGTTGACGCTGGCACTGAAGCAGGTACAGAAACCAGAACTGCTGTATGTGCTGAAACATGTGTTGTAGATGTCGAAAGCGATGTCGATGTCAAAGCAGGTTCTGAATACGATGTCAAGGTAGCAGGAGCTGAGACAGACCTTGAAGCTGCCGC